ACAGGGGGACGGGGGAGACGGGAGGGGGGGCACATGCCTCTGCCTCCCACCGCCTTTGTCTCCCTGCCGCCAGTCCCCGGGGCCAGGGAGGACGGGTCTGCCGGGCGAGAGTCCTCATCCCCATCCCTGTCCCCTGCCCCATCCCCTGTCCCTGTCCCTGTTCCTGCTTCTTGTCCCTTTCTCCTTTCCTTGTCCTTGCTCCCTGTTCCCGGTTCCCATTCCCATCCATCTTCCCTGCTCTCATCTCTGTCCACAGACCCTTTCCATTGACCCCTTTCTCTTTCCCTTCTCTTTCCCCTGTACCTTCTTCTCTGTCCTCAACCCTTTCCCCTCTTCCCTGCTCTCATCTCTGTCCCACCTCTCTCTTGTCCCCATCCCTGCTCGCTGTTCCCATCCCTCTTTTCCCACCTTCTCTCCCCTTCCCATGTCCCTGTCCCAGTCCCAGTCCCCAGGAAGCACCGTGACCTTCGCAGCCACAACAATAGCCGGGCTCGTGGCAGTTCATTGTTCCCGGCCAGAGCCCCCACTCCTGCTCCCCCCTCGTCTCACTGGAGCCCCCACTCGCACTCCCCCTCCTCTCTGCGCTCCGCTGCAGGCAGCTGCTGCTCCGGGGCTGCCTCTCCTGCAGTGGTGCCAGCTGAAGGCCGAGTTGTGCCATCTGAGGGACAGTGGGTGACACGGGGACCTGGCTGGCAGCTGGCCGTGCTCTCCCTGAGCCTTGTGCAATGCCCAGAGCGTTGCAGCACTTAATAAGGACGGTCCCTCTGCTGTCACCGCAGAGAGAGTGCTGGCATGGCTGGCACGGGGCACCCCTGGGCACACCAGCCCCTTTGGCCAGGGATGTGGCGCTGGGTCTGGGGACCAAAAGCAGCGTCCTCACAGGCAGCACCACGGGCCTGCCTGCTCACAGCCATGTCTGCTCCTTCAGTCGTGCCTAGAGCCACATCTGGAGCCAGCCCTGCATCGCAGTGCCCCTGCTCATTGCTTTGTGTGGTACTGCACAGCCCAGGGCATCCCACAGCATCCCACAGGATCCTATAGCCCAGGGCACCTCACAGCCCACATCCTAGAGCATCCCACAGACCACAGCATCCCACAGCATCCCACAGCATCTGATATCCCACAGTATCCTACAGCATATGAGAGCATTCCACAGCTAAGCGCATCCCATAGCTCACAGCACCCCCATCCCAGAGCATCCCATATCCACAGCACCCCACATCCCACAGGA